ATATTTTAAGATAGATTTTAAAATGTAAAATTTTTGTTCCCCCCCCAAAAAAAATTGAAATTTTTCTGATTAAACAACACATAAGCAATTCAAATTTTCTTAACATGAATGCTTTTAAAATAAAAGGAAAAATAATGATTCATTTGTCAGAAAATGAAGCAAAACTACTAAAGGAGATAGTTAATTTTTCTGTTCATTATACTGAATTCTTAATTTTGTTGCTAATGTGTTCACTTTGCTTACCTGATGCTGCATATTTATGGACAGCATTTTTGGCATCTTGTTATATTAAAGCACAGCCATCCATGGGAATAGAAGTTTTTTGTTCCCCCAAAACTGTTCTAAAATATTATCAAACAAAGTAATTCCCACACCTTCATCATTTTAGATGGATGATCTCTGTCAACTGAACCATTGTACTAAATAAGTCAGAAATAAATGACTACACATTTCTAATAAAATAGTACTATTATTGTATATTATCAATGGAAATGGTAAATGGTGTATTAAGCTTGAATTTTTAGCCTAAAGGAGCCGTAACTCAGAAGGTCTATTCATTTTGTTTTGTCATTTTGTGTTGATTCACTATATATGTCAGTTCACTTTTCAAATTGTTGCCACCAAATATTAGAGCCCTGTATTATATTTAAAGAAATTATATAATGAAAAATCTGCATAAATGAGGTATGTTTCTCGAACTGTGATAAAACAATGATACCTATGGCCATAAAATTTTGAATAACATAATCTTTCACCGAATATGGGCATCTGGTAGCCCTAATTTGTAATTTGTTTTATTATCGATGTCATATTTTGTAAAGCTTTAACGAATGTTTTATTACAAACTCAAGAATTTCAAAGCGAGCAATGGCAATGTTGTACAGAGAAAAAAACATTTTTATCTCCAGCTTGTGAGACTATGTATCTGAAATTCTAAAGATGTGCTCATTTTAAAATTATTTTGCAATATTGCTTTTGAACTGAATTTTACGGTTTAAGTGTGAAGAACATGATATTTAATAAAAAAAGGTAACACACATAATGTAAAAAAGAAAAAAACACCCTTTGGACGTAATTTAAAATCTGAAACCTTTCAAATTTTTCCCCTTTCTTTTTTGTTTATTTATTTTTTAATTTCAAAGGAGAATTGTGTGTCTAAAATGGCAGTGAACATGTACATGTAGTTTGGGAGATTGCTTACCAGAATGACCCCAAAGCTCTGAAACTAGCTAAATATAATCTTAATATAGTAGCAGCAGCATTGATAATGTTTGTAAAAGCATTAAAAACCTATGGTGAAGAAGCAATAAAGTGATTGCTATTGTTGCATTTTTGATCTTCAGCTCAAAAAATTAACTTTCCAGGGCACTGTCACTTCCTGTACCCAAGATACTGTTGTTAAATGATATGACTAAATGTGTTACCGTACTTCTTGTTCATTCTGCATTTTCCCTCTAGTTATCAAAGATTCCCTCTAGTTATTTCAGCCATCCATTTTGCACAATACTTTTGAATTTCATTTATGAAAGCTTATCAAATGGTTCTAAGACTTCATGAATCAAGCCGTGAACCATTTGTCTTTTTTTGGAAAATTCCCTTTATTTTAATGATTTTATGTTATCAATGGGTTATGTATTAATAGATTAGTTGTATGTGCAAATACTTGAATGTTAACAGGCCAAAATAGACTAATAATTTTCACCTGCTGTATATATACATGCTTTTAAAAAGTATTTAAGGGATTATTTTACATTGTACAAAATGTAAGAGGGTTTTCCAGTTAAATCAGATTGGAAAGTACTGATCTGATATATTCATGTTTTTATTTCACTGTTTCTATTATTTATAATCAGGTTCATGCAGCAAAAAATCTAGGAAATGTGGCCCAAAGTTGTAGACAGCAAGTACGTTGAGTTTTCCCTTGATTATCTATTGATTGCAAGTTTGTTTGTTTTATTAATTGCAGATAGTCATGACTGTAAGAAAATGTAGAGCAATTAGACAGTTTGGAGAATGGGGTGTGAGAAACAATATTAAATGAATGAAATTTTCTTTCCTTTTTCAGTATAGTTGTGTCCCATAACAATGAATTCATGGCATTTTTATAGTGCGTTTAATCCTTGGGACAAAATGTGTTCCTGATGCTCTAAAAGCAGTCATCATCAGTAGTTTTCATAACACCATCATCAGATAAAACATGCAATTTGAAGATCTTCTGTCAAGGTGTTTTTAGGGGGGGAGGGGGAAGGCCGCGCAAAGCAAATATGGAATGTGATTTGGAAGTCTGTGGCAAGTTACTACTAGCCATTGTCTTAGTGGTGTAGTCTTTTGATTTATATTTAATCCTTTGGACAAAGCTTCTTTCTCATGCTTTCAGTCAAGAGTTTTATAACTTAATTAGCAACAAAAAGCACATATTATGAAGGTCTCACATCAATTTTTTAAACAAATAGAAGTTACTTGAAGCAAATATGGAGTATAAGGTTATACTTGGGATTCTGCAGCAAGTTACTAGCAGCCGTTGCTTTAGCAATGAAGACTTTTGATTAAGCTTTTAACCTTGTAGCCGTTGAAGCAGTTTTACAGCAACATTTTATTTACAACAAATTACATGTCTAAAATTTATCTGTTGTGCACAGATAAATTTTAGACATGTAATTTGTTCTAAATAATATAGTGTCAAAAGTCTGCAGATGGCCAAAAGGTTCCTGAAACAACTAAAGCAGTAAATTCTATTCACGGATGAGCTTTAGATTTGGTGCATTAGTTGAAGAAAGAGAAAATAGGAATGGAGAAGTTGAATAATATAATGAGATGGGGTAATTATATTGAGAGCTACATAAAAACAGATTTTTGATAATAAATGAAATCAAAATTTTCATGATAAAATAAATAAAACAATCTACATAATATGTAATGGTACATGGATCACAGATCTAGCATTTCTTGTTACAATCTAGCTTTTCTTGTTTATTATTCTCAGTAAAGAGCTGTGAGGAAAGAATACACTTATCATTTGACGTGTATGTGTTTTTAAACTCAAATTACTTGAAACAGGGCTTGAATCAAAATATATTCCTACATTTTAAATCTTACCCTATTATTTTCAAATTAAAAATATGCAAGAAAAATAGTATTATTGTGATAAGAATATGGAAAAAAAAAAGATGTATTGACTTCAATGATTTGTAATTCAGTTTTACATTATTTGCATTACTATTAATATTGCCGTTTTAATATTACTATTGATGCTGAAACGAACGGGAAAAATAGTATTTTTATGATAAAAATATGTATTAATTTCAATGATTTGTAATTCAGTTTTGCATTGTTTACATTCCTATTAATATTACCGTTTTATTATTAATATTCATGCTGAAATGAATGGGAGTAATGCAGCAGAAAATGCAAATGGAACAAATTAGCTTACAAGTATAATGCAAATCTTATTCAAAGATTTGAAGATTTAGATTCGATTAACTTTTATTCATACTTGGCAAAAGATAAATGCCCTGAGTTACAGATTTTTGAAATAAGAATAATCACTTTGTGTGGCAATATATTTATTTGTATGTGAAAAGTGTTCTTCGCAGCTAAAAATAAAAAAGAAAGAACTCAATTTGATCGAATAATCATCCAGGATCTAGTTTCTAATAATTTTTCTCAAAGGGCTACAAATTGCATCAAAATTGAAATGCCATCAAGGTGTTGTAAGAAATAAAGAATATGTAACTAACAAATATATAAATTTTTCTCCGCATATGTCAAAGGAATTTAATAAATAAAAGAAAGAAGGTTGTTATTATTTATTCTCATGTTTTGTAACATTAGGAAAGTTTTCATTTTTAGTTTAAGTGAGTTGCTTAATGCGACATTTTAGAATTATTTTAAATAAATGTCAGACATTTAGCTGTGAATACATTTGTGAAAGATTTCTTGCAGATACCAAAATTTAGATTTCGTATGGAAAATATAAATTTAAAATCTTTCCTCTTGCATTTTTATTATTATTGTTTAATATGTTTTGATAAATATCTGTAAGAGCTTAGGTGCGTAAAAAAATTAGGAAAAAAATTTTAACAAAAGAAGGAATCTCATAAATTTAGGTAGGAAAAAATGGAAAGATTGTTAGCTTGAGAAATAAAAAGTAAGTGTAGGAGAAAACATTGTAGAAAATCTCGTGCAGTTGAATATTATTGAAATAAATTATTTTCAGTTAAACCCTGTTTGAGGCATATTAAAAATTTTAATATATTATTTTCAAACATATGAACTTTCACAAAGTACCCCCAGACTTACTTAACATCAGGTTATGAAGGAAAAATACCATACATTGGGTGTATATATGACAAATTATGTTCTCCCACACAACATATATATATATATATATATATATAATATATATTCAATCTCATTTTATTTATTAGCCCAGAAAAGCTATTAGTCTAAACTCAACATTTTTCATCGGTTCACTATAAATGGTGTATCACTTTCTAAATTCTAGCCACCAAATGTTAGCAGCCCGTATTATATTTAAAGAAATTAAATAATGAAGAATCTTACATGATTGTACTTGAATGGTATGTATATTTCTTGCTTTGTGAAAAAGCAACGGTACCTATAGCCATCAAATTTTAAATAATGTAATCCTTCACCCAAACATAGGCACCTGGAAGCCTGAATTTTGAATTTGTTTTATTATCTATTTCATATTTTGTAAAACTTGAATGAATTTTTGATTAACAGACTCAACAGTTTCAAAGCAAGCCATGGCAACACTATATTGGGGAGGGGGGGGAATTATCTTATCTTCAGCACACGAGACTGTCTGTCGGAAATTCTAAACACACAAAACGTTAAGAAAATGCCCCGTAAATAAATAAATATATTTATTTAGGGGCATAATATAAAATCTGAAAGCTTTCAGATTTTTTTATCTGTGCTTTCAATGGTGTAATTTTATTATTAGTGATTCTAAAAGTTTCTTTTTTTTATTACAGGCTCTTAAAAAACTACAGTCATATGTGTTAAACAAGCGTCTTCCATACTTTTTCAGTTCAAAAAACAATCTGCTGTGCAAGATTAGTGAAGAACAGTCACAAAATATTCATGGAAAACTTACCAGGATTGTCAGATCTATTGAGAAAGATCCTTGGTCACTGTGGGCTATATTTAATGTTATGCCTACATTTAATAAGCCTTAAAAAATAAGGGAAAACAGATATTTTAAAATTATAAATGTGCATTGATCCCCTAGCTTTATAATTATGTTACTTAATTTAGGAAATGAAGTGAATGATAATTTAATCGCATGATTTTTACTTCAGATGTATGTATCATTTGCTCTTTAATAATGCTTTTGGTGTTGGTTGATGTCCTGTGTTGCACTTCAAGTTCTTTTGTATTGCTGAAATGGTAAACAAATTTTGTTATCAATTTTTTTACATATGAAAAGTATTGTATGGTAACATTGAGCTGTTTAAGCATGTAATATTTATACTTTTTTGTGTTTAACAGTATTTTAATATACTATTATATGTGATATTTTTCCTTTTCTTTCATGTACACATCATGGGGATAGGATTTTCTCTTCCATTCGTTAAAAATGCTTTATACTATAAAATGTGCTAATAAAATATTTTAAGAAAGACAATAAAGCTTAAACTGTGCAAAAAAATTTATTTGGAACGGTTTAAATTGTGTTACTCCCCTTGAAAATAAGACTCTATAAGAAGCATGGAGAACTAAGTGTCAAGTGATGCAAAATTGCCTGTTAAAAATGAGCAAAAGTTGCTCTATACATTTAGCAACTTTAAAAGAATAAGAGATGGTGTACTCAAACTAATTTGAATGTCAAAGTTGTAAGAAACAAAAAGAGTTCTTCATAACTGATTTTATGATTCACTCAATGCTGAAAATATGGTTAGCTGCCATTTGCTTTACATGACACGCCAAGACAGATTAAAGAAAAGAATATTATATAGCTTATATTGACTGAAGTAATTTTATTATAGTATTTTGCCACTTTCCATCACTACTAATTATTTTTTCTTATACACCAGACGTATGCGATGGGTTAGTCAGAGTACCACAGGTTGAAAATCGCTGCTTTAGATCGGTGCAGGAAGTCATGGAGAAAGTGAATGTTCTCTTTTATGTGTTAAGAAATTACCTTGTTTGCAAATCAAGTATCAGTTATAAATGCCATGCTAGACTAGACATTTTCTAAAAAATAAATTAATAAGTATTTTTATAGAATGCCAGACATTGTCTAAAAAAAGTACTATTTTTATAGAAAGGAAGGGAAAAAGTGACCATTATTAAATTTAAATTTGAGTTACATAAAAAATTGCTGTTGTTTTCTGATATCCCCCCCCCATAAAGCGTCACCATCGAGATAGATAAGGCCTGCGCTCTGAAACGAAACTGGCTTGTGACGTCACGGTTAAGGAACCCTCAGCAAACTTTTTGTTGGCTTTTATAAGTTGTAATTTTTTATTCATTATGTTTTAAGAATTGAATTTATGTTTACTTTTGACATCTGAAGCATCATCCCTTGTAATAATTACTAACACTAGTAATATAAAATTGTCAGCAAAATTTATGATTATTTATTTTAATTTGGAAACTAATTTTATATGAAATAAATGTCCTAAGGGTTTAAAAGCATAACACTTATTTCATTACATAATATGTAGAATATCAAATGCAGAGTAAATTTGATTCTTGACAGAGTACTGTGTTCTTAAATTTAAATATCAATGTTTTTTTTGCAAATATAAAATATCATTTTATCATGATGAAACTTAATGCACATGTTTAGCTAATATAGCTTCTGTTCACTTTTATGTATGTATTATCATGCAATCAGTTTGTTTAAAATTTGTTATGCAATATAAATCTTTCTGAGAATGATAGAAAAGTTTCTAAAGTAATGTATGTAAGATTCATATTAAGGTATTTAAATTGCGAAAACTGCAAAATGAAATTTAAAAATGTACAGTTATTGAAGAAGCAGAGTAGTAAAAAAATATTTTTCAGAACAGAGGTAATGCTTATAGTTAAATAGGTATGATGTAAATATTTGCAAGAAATTTCAGTTTCTAAAAGTTTTTTAAGTATTTCGTATATTTTTAAAATATTTTCAAAAAAAATTGTGTATAACTGTATTTAAAAAACTTTTTTCCTGTCTTATTTGGAATTTTAATATTGATAGTCTTCAGAGCTATGTAATAAACATTATCTCAATTTAACTACAGATTCTTGTCGAAAAATTATGTAGCATTAAGAGGAAAACATTAACTGTAATACAGATTAACATACAATATGTAAGTAAGAAATAATTTTAAGACTAGACTATTTAGTAATTTATTACATTCAGAAAAATTTTATGACTGATATAAGGCATTTAAATGTTAGTCTAAATATTAAGTAGTCTCTTGCATTCATTTGATGTTTTATAATCCTGCTACATTAATATGATAGATGTAAAAAATATGCAATAATTATAGAATGAGAGATAACAAGTGTTCCCACTGGCAAACATTTTGTTAAATTAGTGGGTGAAACAAAAAAAATTGATGCGGTGATGAGAATCAACGAGAAACACAAAGGCAGTGCAGAAAAATCAAAGTAAAAATTTTAGCTACTTGAATTTTAAAACCAATTTTTCTTCAAAGAAATGATTTGCTTTTAAAAGCACCACACCATTCTCAAATAATTTTGTTTTGAAAATAAATACTAACAAAAGAAAATAAAAATATTTCATATTCGTATAAGCTTTGTAAAACATTATATTGCCGCTTGTAATTTTGTTTTAGACTGATTTTATAGTATGAGATACCAATTTCATAGAATAGGTTTAGAAAAACGGGTGTTTAGCAAGAAAGCTAAACTGCGCGAAGACCGGTCCCCTAGCAGTGACGTAGTAACTCAGCGCGCAGGCCTTATCTATCTCGATGGTGACGCATAAAGGCAGTATTTTTTTTCTCTTCAGGTCTTTATGTACTATCAAACTGTCTTTCTGTTACAGTATTTTTAATTTTTTTTTATTTGTTTTAGTATGACTGGTAAATGTTAAAATAAGTGTATAAATAGTATAAATTAAAAAAAATTTAGTAATCAATTTTGTATTTCTTTATGATATTTTCTGGTGAAGATGCATGAAAGCTTTTGTATTACATACTGTATATTGCTTTTAAAAAGAAGATTTTGTACAACTGTGATTTTTTTTTCCCTTTGATCAAATAAATCAAATAATTATATATATTGCTATTATTGTTTCAATATTAAGTTGAATGTATATTACTTGCTGTACAACAAGTACCAATTTTAAATACTGTGAAACTGTATCACAACTTATTACTCTCTTAGTGGTTAAATTGACACATGCTTTCACAATATTTAAAACTTATACTTAAAGTATGTAATTCTAATCTAACTTAAAGTATGTAATTCTAATCTATTTTTGTGTTTATCACAGAACTGTAAGTCACTGACTTTTATACCTGACTTCAGTTAAAATTATGACATTATACATATTTTAATTAAAACTACTTTTTTTTTTTTTTTCAATTGATTATAGCCACTTAGACAGTTGTATCCACCAAAGAGAGGAATACCCACTGGAGGACTCTCAAGAGAAACTGACTAATTTTTGTAACGGTCAGTTTTTTTGTTTGAAAGAGAGCATTATGTATAGGATTTTTTGTTAGCTTAAATTTCACATTTTTAAAGTTGTTAACTGCTAAATCATTTTAGTTATTAGTGATGTGGTTTAAACGATATTAATGTAGCAATTCTTTTGCCGAAAGAATGTAACATATGGGGTGCTCAGAAAATATCTGGCAAAATGGTAAAGAGGACTAAAATAAGCATATTTGTCATAGTCTGTGTGTTTGAAAATGATACACACTGGTGAGGAAGAAAAATGTAAAAGGTGAAAGAATGGTCAAAGAAAATGTAACTGATTCTTCAATATGTGCTGTTTTTAAAGCACTTATTAACCCTTTTTGGCACACTACTCTTTAAAGTATTTTACCCAAAAAATTTGTAGGCAGTCTATTTAGGCCTAGGAGAGTATGCAGGGATAGTTTTACAAATATTGCACCAACTGTTTCCATTTTGTGGGTGTGTCCGGAGTGAACACATTGAGCCGTGATAAGTGAGCGTTGCTGTGAAGCACATATTACAGTAAAATACTTTGATTTAAAAAACAGTACAATCTGATCTGTGTAGCAGATTTAGCATAACCCAGAGTACATCACGGGGAGGCCTGCTACTCTACACCCTACCCCCCCAAAAAAGGAAACTCTCATTGCTTCGGCAATGCTGAGGCCTATCCGAGCCATTTACACAATTTTAAAATTTATAAGAAAAAATAATTAAAATGCTATAATATTTACAATTAATTATTGACTACAAAAAAATAATTATTAAATATATATACAAATAAAAATCTACAGAAATCAAAACTACGCACGATGAAAGCAAGAGAAAAAAAGGGTCTGCTCTCGCTGAAAATCAAATAGCTAAGTGAAAACAAAGCACCAGAGTCTTCAAAACCAAAAACAGAAAAGAATAAAAACAAATATGAATAAATCTGCGCTCTCAGCCTCTCCCATGTTTGAAGCACGAGACCAGATTCTGTGACTCACCCCACGTGAAAGGCGCTACCAGTACAGTGTGTTCAGCACGAGCACACTATACACTGAAGGCTTCACTATACCAATATTTCAAACATAAAAATTAAAAGTAATACAGAATAGGCAGATTAGCATATGAACAACAAAATTATATAAATATTTTTTTAGTGATATTCTTTATATTTTATATCTTTAAAAACAGAATATATCTCAACGTTAACAATTTGCTTGTGTGGTGCTGCCATCTATTATTCATAAGAGATTAAAAGTAACCATTAGTGTAGTTTTCGTGATATTTATCGAATTTTTGGTGTGTTCACACTGCGCCGGAAAGGGTTAAAACTCAAATGAGTGGACATAGAGATGGACAAAACTGCTGCTTTAAGGGATCGGAAGTGAATCAGTTCTTTTTAA